TTAATTTAATTTTTTAGTTTTCTGCGGAACAGCATTTTTTTTTATGGACCGGTACAGGGTCACAGACCACACTTTGGGAAATGCTAATCTAGGATGTACTTGACAGTTTTTGGGAAGAATTTCAAGTCTGCAGCAATTTGTTGGAGAGTCCAATCAGCATCATGTAAAGGTTTTATGCAAACTATCTGCTCTATTGACAATTCTCTACATTTTTTGACAACAAAACTTAATATATATAGTGTTAAACACTGTTTTTATCAAGGTTTATTTATGGAGTGCTGTTACATTGATTTCTTCTAGCATATACTGATACCATACGCTAGCTCCTTACTAATTTCTTTCTCTAGAGTTAAGACGCTGCATTGGGTACCATTAGAGTTATTTCAGACCCTAAATTTGATCAGTATGTTCATTCAAGCAGAACCCTCATGATATGCTCTTGGTACACGAATATGGGATTTCTAAAGAATGATAAATATTCTCACTCTGGCTCATTTAACTGTCAACAGGGATCAGTGAAACATTACCATAGTGTTGAAATTTACATTCTGTAATGGCATGGAAGAATTAGCCCCATAAAATGGGAAGAATGACAAAATATTCTTTGGTTGCAACACTTTTGCATAGTACTATATATATACTTTTAAAAATAAGTAATTGAAACTTTTATGTTTTTAAAATTTGATCTATAAATCATGTTTTAATGCCAAGTTTATTGATGATAAAGTAGTTTAATTAAATTTTGAATGCAACTGTAAACTGTAAATGTCGTGGCATATGCACTTTGACCTATTCATAGCAAAAAGGTTAACATTATAAGTATAAGAACAAGTTACTTACTGCTAGCAGGTAAACCTGTCATTTTACATAGTAAAATTTAGTATACTAATGCACTTCATACATGGAAATGGCCTTGAAAGGGGTCAGATGTTGTACTTGTGCTTGGAGTACAAGCCAAGACCAATCATGTAGTAATAAATATATTGTATTTTCTCATACTATAATATCAACAGCTGTAAAGGAAGGAGGAAGAGGGTGTAAACATACCTTATTGGCCCCCTGTCCACACAAGAATAGACCTAAATACCAATAAAGAATTCAAGCAAGATTGTAAAATTCACAATGGACAAGCTTTGGAGTCAAAATAGGCAGATATTAGGTTATTGGACAAAGAAAATCTTTTATGGACAGGCACTTTCAGAATAGACACATTTTAGATTAATGGACAAATGAAAAAAATCATGGACAGGCATTTTACAAAATAGACAGCTTTAAGGAATCTGCTAATTCAAATAGACAGTTGACAACCCTAGTCCATTTACAAGTGCATTCAACATTGTAACAATCTCCGGTTTCCTGCCAATTTAAAAATGTGGTCATATGAGTAAGAGCACATGATGGACACGAATGATTTTCCTGAGACCTTTGGGAAATGGGGATTATAGCTCGCAGTACCTCTATAGAGTCAATTTGACTCTAGGTATAGGATTTCCTTGCAAAGGGAAAATAATGTACCAAAATTATACAACATGTTGTTTTTAATAATTATTATTTTCTCAGCTTTTAAAATTGAAAATTGATGAAAAATATATTGCATATTGAAGGTACTTCACATCAAAAAGGGCAGGGTTCAAACCCTCGGAGCCCCACCCTTGTATTTGCTACTGTGATAATAATATACAATGAAATGTCTTTTACATTTATAATTACTATTTTATCAGTTGTTTATTGTGTCTTTTTTGCACTGCAGCAGCATTCTCATCTCCTGCTGTGAGAATTCTGCATGTCTAGTCATAATCATGCAATGCTACATGAAATTTGCATGCCTAACTTTGCACTTCCAGCAGTATCCTGTTTTCTGGAGTGATGTCGCCACCACATGTTAGTAAAGCCACATGATACCTAGTGCATGCATAGACGTTCAACGTGAACAATCTACAGGTAGCATGCTTTCCTTCACAAGCTAAGAAGAGCTTTCTTGATGCCGTTATAGAAAAATATGTAAAGAAAGGTCGATGGTTGGATTTCATCTACAAATATCTATTCTGGAGGTATATTACAATGATAAGTTATTAATGTAGGACCTACTTGAAAACTCACTGCATGCCACTGGTACCTTCCTTATTAAAGGGTCAATCACAGTTTTTGACATTTTCACGATCACACAAAATGTACACGTTTTCATGAACCCTTCCCTCCACCACTCTTCTGAAAACATACTCTTAAAATGGCAAGTTTTTAAAACAGATATATTATTAAACATTAGTTATTGTACCAGGAAGCAGTTATGTATTAATAGTGAATGAGATTTTTTAAACATTTTTTAAAAAGTAAACATGTGCTCCTCCATTCAAACATATGTTTTGTACACTTGTGAAAATTGTGACTGACCCATAACAAAAGCAAATAAGATTAGTTGAAGCAAGAAATATTTGCTGCAAAACTGGCATTTGCTGTAATTTATTTTAAAAGGAAACAGAGTGAAAGAATTTATATACTTACGCATACTTGTAATACACACGAGTCATATACCCAAAGCGTTCATGGCCTGCAATATCCCTACAAGATGTCACAGAAAAGAGAACATTTCCTTTTCATGATTTTAAAGTACGTTAACAAGGCCTGACTGTTTTAATATCCATACATTTTATACTCTCCTGAAGAAGAAGAATCAACTATTCAAAAGTGCTCAAGTTTTGGATCTATTTTTGAAATTCCTTATATATTTTATAATACAGACTGATAGAATTTAAGTCTCTAACCCTTGCATCTTACAGAAATAAAAAAAATACAAACTTGAGTTATAGACAGTGTATAACACTATTACTACATTTTGTTTTATATAAATTATGATAATTTGCTTATTAAGCTACCAGTAGAATAAGAAGGATGCTTAAATACCTAAGTTAAGATAGACAACAGAACACTGAATTTTAACAATATAATGTCATGTTGATATAAAAAATAATTGATTTAATTTTCACTTAGATAAATAGCATGTGAAATGATATTCCTAAAGTTCAAAAAGATTTAAAAATCCTAAGTCATGTACAACAATGAGTATAACAAGGACAAATACTGATCATAAAATAGAATAGGTGAACTTTTACACAAACATGTATCTATTATTTTCATTGTTATACATGATCAGAACTGTCATGTTCGTTTTTGAATGTGATCAGCATGTATACGTGTTATTTCAATTGTTAAACATGTTTAGCACATGCACCTATTATTTCAAATGATGAACATGATCAGCACATGTAACTGTTATTTCAAATGATGAACATGATCAGCACATGTAACTGTTATTTCAAATGATGAACATGATTAGCATAGGTATCAGTTATTCTGTTGTCCATGATCATCAAATGTCACTGTTATACTCATTGTTGAACAAGATTAGAAAATGAAACACTTAATCTCAAAATGTCAAGAATAAAGTTATATATATTATTACTTTGGCCTAGGATACATGGTAGCCATTATATGCACAACCATTTTTTTCTGAAAGATTATACATACATACACAGACAAACAATAATTAAAAGGTTTTGTTAGTGGGAAAGAAAAATTGAAAATATTTCTCTCAAAAATATGCAGGTAACATGATAAATTGGAAAAAATGATAATTCATTCAAGAATTATTTTGATTAAAGGGAGTTTTGGATATCATATGATGAGTGTGTGGCTAGTATTTATTTGTTTCAAGAAAGAGTAGAAAATATTTGAACAATATAAAAACACAAGTTGGATCAGAAAGATTGTTGATCACTTTAGTAAGTTTGTTGGTCAATCATGTGTTAGTTCAATTCTGTGAATGTTGAGTTTATATTTCAACAAATTACTAGTGAGACAAGAAAGACACACGCATTAAGTTAGCAAGTCAACGAAATTAATATAATTTTAAGGTTTACTATGAGCCCAGGTATATTAGTGAGTGTTAATTAACCTATTTTGTAGAACTAGTGATAGAAAACAACAACATTTTATTATCATTATGAGGATTGGAATTTCCATTATTTTTTACTGAATAATCCAAAAGAACCCACCCAAGAATAGAAACCTTACTCTTATGAAACCTATCATAGTGCTAAACTTAAGTGTCTAATTGTATTCAGTTCTCATATAGGTTCAATAAAATAAAATAAGTAATAGCTTACCACAGTTGCAGTGTTATGCGTGTCTTGGCATCCCACAATATGGATTTTATAGCAAAATCTACACCAATGGTAATTTTATAATATTGAGAAAACACACCTGAAAAACATAATATAATAAAAAGTATTCACTATTTTCAATATAGAACTTCCTGAAATAAACATTTACTGATAATCTCATCTAAAAGAGCCAATATTTAAACACAAGTAATGTCAAAACTATAGCTTAGTTTTTAGTGCAATATGCTAATTTCTTTGCTATAATTGCGAATCTTCAACAAAAAATATCATTATTCATATATTTACTTTTAATAATTAAGTTTGGTCAAAAAAAGTCTTCACAGACATAAAATATAAATGCATGTGACAATAAATGCGAACAAGATTAATTAATTTGCAATATCAAATTCAGATTTACCTTCAGAGAACATGTCTGTACTCTGTAATGTTAGTTGCAACTAAATAAATTCTATTAATTTTTAGTACTACTAATAATTAAACACAGTATTTACAAATATGAATAAAAAAAAGAAACATTTAGCATAAATGATTATAGTTTCAAGTGGTGAGAGAGAAGTTATATTTAGAAATGTCATTTAGAAATTGTCATTTACATATACATGTTTGCAACTAAACAGTATTAAGACATGTATATAGAACATCTTACTATGATCATATGATGCAGTAAAATATTTTACATGCAAGTATGATTGGTCAATGGAATACTTATACTTAAAAAACTTGATAATGCATGTACATTTGGAAGATTGAAGGTACACATTCCAAAGGCAATCAAGTTATTGAATTTCTGTAATCTTTTCTAGGCTGATGAGTACCTTTCAGGTGCTGAGTGCATATCTGCATATTAAATTTCAAAATTTAAGCAAAAATAATAATTGTAATTATTTCACAAAATTGTTACTGGAAAATATTTTAGAATTATATTCTGGCAATTTGTAGCACTTATTTCATGTAATTTGTAAAGAAAAATTAAAAAAAGTTCCCTTATTTAGGCACATCTCTGATTTTTAAAAATTTTTCTGCACATCCCAAACCAAAGGTTTATACTTGTATTAAAGAATCTATTCCTTGAGAATATAATCATAATTGTTTTGTTTCTCGCATGGTTTTTATTCTCTATCTCTGAATTATATTACCACACCGCCTTTTAATGACCTTACAGTAGGTGATTGAGCAAATACTGCAATGTAGAATGAATAAAGATGTGTAAGAAGCTATCTGTGGTTTTGTGGGAAAAGTTATTAGATGGATCTCTTACAGAGAAGAACAATGACTAAATAACTGGGAATTTTTACAGTTTGTTCAGACACCTCTTTTGTTCCTGAACATGTTTTGTGTTAGATTATATTTGAAATGTAAAGAATTTTTTTTCATATGAAAAGACATCAATTAGGTTTAGAGAATATGGTGGATGATAGCAAAATATTCTGATGACTCGAATCAGAATATCATTGTATTCAAACAATGTAGATAAGTAAAAGAACTTATTGTTTATGGAAAAAAAGGTATATTAGATGAAAACTGATCTTGACTAAGAATATTGTGAGCAAAAAATACTAATGCCTAAATCTTTTTCAGTTTTAGTGTTTATGATTTATAGCCAGAAGACATGACTACTGCAATCAGCAAAGTAAAGTATGAAAAGAAGTATATTCATGAACATCAATCAATTTAATACTAATTGTATACATAAAATGGACTTTCTGATCATAATAAAAAAACAAAGTGAAATTCCAAAACTATTTTGTTTTGCTGTTAAGCACAAAGCTGCACATTGAACTATCTGTGCTCTGTCCACTTTGGGTTCAAAAACCTGCTTTTTAGTGTTATGAGCCTTCAGATCTAGTGCTAGACTACCAAGGAGCCTTCTCATTAAAAAGGAAATAATCTTAATGTTTTGTCAAAACAGTGTCTCTCAAAAAATTTTGGAAATTTTCCAAACACAGAAAGAAATCTAGCTAAGTATTTCCACTATAAGTAGGAAAAAAAAATCAAGGGATGACAATGACACTTTCCTGGTTCAGAAAGGGTTAATTGAATATGAATTACTCTTGTGTTATAAATACCATGAATCACCAAAATATACAAAATTTTGTCATTTTTACTATAGAAAGTAATGTTGATGGTATACATATATGACACATGTCCATTACTAGAAACGTTTACTCTTCTATCTCTACATATTATTTAAATTAACTAAACAAAATTGCACTTTGTACGTACCCTCTGTGTACCTCCGAATAATTGCAGTTTTTCCTGAAATGACAAATATATTTATCACACATTATTTCAACAGTTAAACATTCAGCATTTTGCATATTATATTTAATAATAGGTATGGCAACAATGATTTATAAGCATAAGGAAAAGTTTTATTGATGGTGGAACATACTACATGTTTTGACAGAACATTGGTCTCCCTTCTTCTGAAGAAGATAGACCAATTTTCTGTCAAAACATGTAGTATGTTCCACCATCAATAAAATATTTCCTTATGCTTATAAATCATTGTTTGCCTACCTATTATTATATTAGCATAATATGCTTCCTTAGTCAAATGTGTTATACTTACTTGTACAGGTCTTGAAACTTCCAGAAACCAATATGTTTGAAATAAGATCTATATATAAACCTAAGTCTTTTTTAAAGAATCTTTTTAAATCTTTTTCAAATTTCTCTAAATCTCTAAACTTATGCCGATAACTTTACTTACAATTCATTCAAATGAAAATTTTGATTATGGATGGTAAATAATACGAGCTTTTCTTTAATGTTACATTTTTTCACCGATAAGTAATTTTCTAGGTATTTTGGTTCTTCAAAATGAATAACAAGTAGTAAAATAATATAAATAACCTTAAAAATGCTCAATGTAAATTAATATAGCACAGTGGTTCCCAACATTTTTCTAACTGAGGACAAGCTAGTTCCAATACCAAAATTTCACAACCTCTTTATACAATATTCACTTTTTAAACACTTATATATTACATTCTAAAACAACATACTCGAGTAACTATATTTTAAAATGCACATTTCTTTCCAACAGTGTTATGAACTGGTGATTGGGAACCACTGTTACAGATATACCTAAACAATGGCTAGTTACAGCTATCTTAGTCTCTTGGTTATCAGTGTAAAATAAGGAATAGATAAGTTTCTTTGTTTAAAATCTATAAACATTTAATTTATGTAGTTGAAAGCATCAATTTCTAAAAATGAAGACTACACTTTCAGATAATAATAGTGTTCAACCTTTTAAGTAATCTGGATGAAGTTCACCAAGAATATGAGAAAATTTATGGTTTCACTTTTATAGTTAAAATATCTGAAATAACATTTTTTTTGAACTGACAAACTCTTTTCAAAACACTTAATTTTTTGATTTATTCAGTATTTCAACTTTTCAAGTTTTATTATAAGTTTTGGAAATAATTCTTGCCATAAATGACAAATTCAGCAATTGCAAGTGGACCTACCAACACCAAAGTCTCCTATGACAAGAACTTTGAAAAGTAGCTCTTCTGTCTCATAATTAGTAATTGAATTCTCCAAAGTATTATTTTCTCCCCGAAATGGCACTACTGCAGTCATCTCTGATTTTCTTTATGTAGGTCAAACTTCAAGTACATTCAAAAACCTATGATGAATTTAGCAAATAATTTTTTTATAGTTTCCATAAACAGATTAATTCTATGAAAAAGTTTGATATGCATTCATAAGTATGTGGAAAACTGATAATCGAAGTAACATACATATACCTAAATGTAGGGGGAAAAAAGGACAAACTTACATTTCATATATGAATACTTACCGAAGAAAAAGTTGGAAGTTTACAATTTACACCAACATTATATCTTAATGAAATTAGAAATTAGTAAACTCCTTCCTACAACTGACATTGCAACTTAATACCTCTCTCCAGTTAAAAACAAAAACAAAAGAAAATTTAAAATGGTAATCTAGGTAATAGTAATACTAATCCATGAATGTGGATTAAAACTATAACATAATAACTGTTGATATTGACAATTAGCTTGGTATATTCTAAAAATCTAAGAAAGAAAGTAAAGATGAATATGTTATAATGTGCAGAATACACTACATCTTTCATATCCAATGCTGAAGAGGCCTTTCGATCAATAGCGGTGCTCATTGGATAGGGGCACAATTAGTAAAAATGCTGAATACATGAAACTTTAAGCATTTCTAGCTGTACTGAGGTACTACAGAATGACTTGTACCAGTTGGTAAGTCAAACAAATACTTGGCAAATGAACCTTTATTACAGTTATAACAAGATAATGTAACCTATATAAGCAATTTGGCTTTTATGACTCCTGATATTTCAAGAAATCAAGTATGATGTGACACACATGGGCTTTTATATACAGTAGGATTTGTCCAGATAGAATAGTTCGATTACTGTCTGGCCATTGTGATTTTGCTGATGGGGGTGCAAGGGGGCCATGAAGGGGTGTGTGAAACCTTACAAGTGTAGTGAGTGTTGGTATATTAAGTCTAAAGTAAAGACTTAGGGTTAAAATGATTTCCATGTTAGTTGTTTGGGACAAAAAGTTTAATGCTTATTCCCACCCTTAAAAACATAGAGTGACATTAGACATTCTCCAATCTTTGTGCACCTTCTCCCTGTGCAACAATCTACCAAAAATTAATGTGAGTAGCTCAAAAATCTGGTCTTTTATTCCTTTTTAAAACTAGAAGAAAAATTATCAATTTTTCAGGTTGGAGTTTTATTTCTCTTTAAAATGCTGCATCAAATATATATAAAACATTAAAAGGTCATCTTTTAGAATTCGAGCTAATACTTTACTGCTAAAATTAATTAGCATATTTTTACTGGTTAAATTATACTAAGAATTTTTATTACAAACCTTAATGTAATTAGTAATTCTTACAGAATCTTTTGTGGAAACAGAGTGAATTAAATACCAACTTATTTTACTTTAAAAAAATAGTAGTTTACCTAAAATATCCAAACTGAAATATTCTTTGTTGGTGGTGGTTTGTTTTAATAAAACTTTAAAAGTTTCATACAGACATGCACCTTTTATGATATTTAACTAATGTTAGTTTGAAAGCATTCTTTTTGCACTCACAATATGAGTACACACTAGATTGAGGGTTATTCTTACAGTTAGAAATGTGTTTTAGTTTCTTGAACTATCCAAAAAATTAAAATGAGTGCCACTAAGACAAATTTTGAGTTTCTATAATTAGCCATAAGTGTTAAACATGTACCATATTTTTCAAACTCTATTTGAACTGATTGGCAAACAAAGACATTCACAATTAGTTAATCATTTGCACTTTGAAAAACTTTTTGAAACATCTGAAAATATAAGAGTATGAATAATGTTTTTGAATGTTAGAAAAATGCAAACTTTCATCAGAGTCATAATGCTCTGCTTCAATTTTTCACATCATATTGTTTACTGTAGCAGTTTCATCCCATCACAAACACAGTTTGACAGCCTTGACTCTTCTTCTGATCAATATAATTTAATTGTTACAAAGTACTTTTACATTGTAGTTATAATGAAAATATCCTTAATGTAATATACAAAAAACGAATGGATACTTAATCAGTGACACTATGATATTGTTTTGGACTACAGGCTGAGCTTGTCGTCGTCTGAAAATCACCAACACAATAAAGACAGCAGAAATCCATAAAATAAATCACTATACTGCAACTTGAATAAAATCAAAACACGCAAGTTTATGAGAATATGATTGCGTGAAACTATGTTAACTGTTATCAGTGTTGTAATTTGTTAATGTAGTTGCTTTACTGTACCCACAACTCTACCTTTCTAGTACTAGTAGTATTAACTTACAAATTACAATACAAAACTCAGCTATTATTATTTATCAGAATATTGGACAGTAACTTTAACATGAACAAACACACATTAAAAGAAACGAACAAACTTTCTCACCTCCTGTCAGTATTAGTTCCAAATCCTAGAAGCATTAGCAACGTTAACGCTTAAGTTACCTTGACTTATTTTCTGTCAAAGAACGCTGGCATTCCCATGTTAGACACAATGATTCATACCAGAGTCTCAAGAAGATCGCGATGTTGTTTGGCGAACGAGTAGTCATAACAATCGTAACGAAGCAAAATATTGCATGAGCCATTTTGTGTCTTATTTAAATATTTAATAAAGTTAGATATTATTGCACGAGCTCTTGTAGTTAAACCTTAAAGGATAAAGATAAAACAAGTGCTCTTTTTGATACATAAATTTACTTAGTATACTTTGGGGTTGTTTGGCATTAGTGTGCTGATAGTAAAACAGTTTTTAATACTTATATTTACCTCTTTATTTCTGATGAGGTTAAATATTTTTGTATAGCACATACGAAAATATTTCATGTATTTCGTGTTCGTATATATTTGAAAAATACAAATGATTATCTTATAGTTGTAAGTTATATTTTTTATTTTGTAATTTATTTGTTAACTAAAGGTTTGTTTGTTTGTTGTTAAGCGCAAAGCTACACAAGGGAGCTTGGCTATTTGTGCTGTACCCACCACGAGCATCGAAACCCGGTTTTTAGCGTTATATGCCATCAGACTTACCAGTGAGCCATTGGGAGGTGTTAATTAACTAGAGGGAGATAAGAGTCATAATGATAACTTTAGATAAGCCTAGAAAGTTGAAGGATTTGACGTCAAGTTTTCCACTATATTCTAAGTAAAATTATAAATACGAGTTCAAAGAAGTAGTTAAGACAGATAGAGTTGTTCCAAAACTATTCTCAATAGACGAGTACATTGTTACAAAAATAAAAGTAGTGTTACGACAGCGGAGGTCACGTGACGCTAGTAACACGTCATGCGCTTCTAGAAAATTCATGTCCCTTCTTGAAGCCTCGAGTGTTTACTAGATGCACGGTATTCTTGTATATAAGACCGCCAAGAACTGACGGCAACAATATAATTGAACTGCAGAAAGAGAGAGACTGACGATTGAGTCGAGCACGTAAGTCGTTTGTTGTGAATTATAGCGTTTGTTATAGTATGACTGTGGAAATTAAGTGTATTGCAAAATTGTATTCAGAAAGAATAAACTAGTTTTATTTAAGAAAGGACCT